ATATGGTGAGGAAAAGCTTCTCTGTTGCATCGATATTTGGGATGGCATATGTTTGTTAGGATAGGAACAGGGAATGTGTGTGTGTGTTGTGTGTGTGTGTGTGTCTATTAGGGTGAGGCTGGCGAAGGGGATATCTGTGTGTGTTTTACCGTGAGACTGGGAAACGGGGCATGTACGTGTTTTTAGGGTGAGCCTGCGAAATGGGTCATGTGTGGTTTTTAGAGTGAGCCTGGACCCACCCATCTGTCGTCTCGGCACCCCTAACCTCGTTCGGAGCCCTGAAACGGGACCCTGAACCCTGAAACACTCATGCTAAGCCTGAGCCTGAACCTGAGCCTCAGCCTAACCCAAGGGGGTGCCCTCCTCCCTTCTGTGCCCCTCCCCAACACGCGACAGGTCCTTCCCAAAAGGAATGTGTCCCTTGCCTTGTGTCTGTGATGTATTTCTCTGCTTGAGAATTGCTGGATCTTCCACTGCGGCTGGGTTCGCAGTTGCGCCCTCTGGTGGCCTATGATGGAATAGGCGGCGGAGTCAGAGCCGCGGCGGAAGATGCCAGCCTCCAAAGCCTGTGACACCGGTGGACCAGAGACGCTAATGGTGACCCGTTGGGAACTCTCGTGGTCGAGGGGAATCGTGAGCATAGATGGATAGATAGATACATAGAATGCACAGGCTTGCTGGCTTGCTCGCTAGCCTCGAGATTCCCCTATGGGTGCACAGGCAGGCCTCCAAGCCCCAAGGCCGGTCCACCGGTGCGGGTTTCTGTAGGTAGAGGAGAGAGAGGGAGGGAGGAAGCCGGGTGCTGGCCGGTAAAGTGAGTGACCCGACTGTGGGGTGCTTAGGCACTGGAGCAGGGGCCAGGAACACAGAGGAAGACAGAGGTATGTAGGGAGATGGAGAGGCCGAGACACACGGAGGGTCTTTGAAGAAAGAGATAGGACCGGACGGAGAGTGTGGGCGAACCGCCACCTCGCAGGCCAGGACTAAACAAACAGATGCCTAACCCACTAAGCCTGCTGCTCAGCCGGTGACAAGCTGATACCGGTGTGGGGCCACAGAGTCATTCAGTGAGCTAGGGATGTGGGAGGAGAGAGGAGAGAGGAGGAGAGAAGACACAGAGACAGACAGACAGAAAGAAAGGAAACAAGAAAAGAGAAGAAACCAGCCCCGGAGAGATCTCAGGAGCAAAGAAGAAATGCGGAAGATCAAACCCATGGCCTCCCACTTGTGGCCCTGGTGAGCCGAACGCCTAACCAGGTGAGCCAGATGCTGGGCCGGTGACAAGCTGTTGCTGTTGTGCAGAGTGAGTGTTGTAAGAAAGAAAAGATATGGTCACCGAGAGGAGACCTCACGAGTCCAAAGCTAATGCAAGGGGGGAAAGTGCCTGCTCGCCTCTTTGTTCCCTCTCTCATTGACGTATTTACTGATTTGTTAAGTTTGTTCCTTCGTTCCTTTGTTCATTCGTTCTCTAGCCGCCTCTTCCTTCGCCCCGGCCCCCGACTCCAACTCCCCCGATGCCCCGGCGAACGAATGTCCCGTGACTCTCTCTTGGGTGGACTGAGATGTACTTCTCGCAGACCTGGCGCTGAAATCCGTCGCGGTTGTGGTTGTAGACTGACTGCAGTCGGTCACAGAAGAGGCGAGCCAGGCCGCCCCGGCGGGGGCGGGGCAGCGTCCCTTGACTTCCTGCTTCCGGTGCGCATGCGCTCGGCGACGTTCCTGGTCCGTGAGGAGGAAAGATACGGAAGAATATTGCTTTGCTATGTGCCGTGGAACCGGCCGCCTCAGTTCCAGTATCTGGAGCTTGTGAGTGTGAGAGGAGGGGGCTGGCGGGCCCACGACGAGAGCTGGAAGGGAGCCCACGGTGGTGTGGGCGCCTCTGGTCCCGGTCCCCGGGAATCTGGCTGGAGCTCCAGCGCTGTGCAGGGCGCCGGAGCCGGGCAGGGGCGCGGGGTGGGGGCAGGCCGCGTGGCGGAGGCCAGCCGCGGGGTGGGGATGATGGGAGCGGGTAGCCCGCGGACTCAGTCAGCGCCTGAAGCCCCCTTCCCTTCCTTGGCTGGCATAGTGGTTTGGCTGCCAGTAGGCAGGCCACCGTTAGCCCGTTAGATGCGTGAATGATTTTCGTGATTTTTTATGGCTCGATCGCACCTCCCGAGAGTCAGGCTTCATGGCCGGACCCTCTGCTCTCAAGATTGAAGTGGCTCCCTGCTTAGGGCGAGCGTGAGACTGTGGGTGTGACGGGGTGTGGTGTGGTGGGTAGTGTGTGTGTGTGTGTGTGTGTGTGTGTGTGTATGAGAGAAACTTAGAGACATATAGAGAGAAAGAGAGACAGAGAGAGATTGGTTCCTCTTTGTGGGCCCCCTTTATGTACCTCATAACCAAGTTATTTTTCAGTGTCATGATTTGTTTGGGAAGGTGTTTGGCTCACGAGTTAGTTATTTATTAATTAATTCGTTCGTGTCCTTAGTTACTCATGTGTTCATGCACTGGTTCGTTCATCCATTCGTTCCCATTCTCATTCAGACCTTTATTGATTGATTCACTCCCTTGTCTTGTTCCTCTGGCAGTGCACTCATCCACCCACGTTTGGACTCAGCTCTACAATGTCCGTCATGCGGCGAGGCCTTGGAAGTGGCCCGTGTGGTGTCTTCTGTGTGCCACCAGATGAATCGTGTCCTGACAAACCAGCCTCTTAGCAGCGGGTAGACAGACAGACAACCCCTTTGCATTGCTCTACGTGGTTGAGAGAGATTGGGCTCTTTATCTAGCTAGATGACTTGTTTCTATCTCTCTGTCCAAAGCCAAGGTCAGCATAGTCCCCAGCCCGGCCAGGTGTGCTTGGTCTATACCTATATGTAGCCCTGCCCCTGCAGTAGATAGCCCTGCCTGCTTTCCTGGGTGAGTGTCCCTGTAGGGCTTGTGTTTGTTTGTTTCCCACAGTAATGCAACAGCTCCCTGGTGGGCAGTAGATATAAGGAGCTGAGATCATCCGTTGTTGGATGGCTGCAGGGCCATGCTCTCCTCAGCCAGCCTCCTGAGGGGCTTCCCACCCACCTGGGTGGGTGGGTGGTGTGTGAAGAGATTGTAGAATATGGCTGGGTGAGGGAGGGGTGCACCTTTCCAGCCAGCCAGCCAGCCAGCCAGCCAGCCAGCTAGCTAGCCAGTTATTTAACGTTGTGGACACTTAAGCTATCTGTCCAGATGGGTGGTCTCTGTCAGGCCTGCCTCTGAGGTCTTGCTGACCGAGATGTGCTCACTTGCTCCTTCAGACTAAATAAGGCATGTGTGTACTTAGGTGGATGTTGTTGATTTTGTTTTACCAGGGATTGGATGCAGCAGAGTGCCAAAGCTATGTCTATTTCTGTGTCTCTGGACCTCCCTTCCTGACTTCTGAGATTTTGAGTCAAAGAGTTCTCGTCTGGAGAGACTGGATTTGAAAAGGAAGGATGGACAAGAATGAGAGGCAAGGCGTCTCATCATTTAATTAATTAAATTCCTCATTTATCCAGTTATTTAATGATTGATCAAGTTCATTTCAAGGTGGTAGACAGATTGGTTTACATACATGAGATACTGAGATCAGGAAGACAAAAATAAATCAAGCCAAGCCAGGCCATGAAAATGACAGCTGAGAGATGAAAAAGAAGGGCAGACAGTAAGTACAGTGGCAAGAAGACAGAGCAGCCAGAAAAGACTGGCTGGGCAGCAGGAAAGAGGCCGAGAGTGAGTGAGGTGCGAGGGGTGGCCAGGAGCCCGAAGTGAGCAGCCAGGAGGAGAGGGAGGGCGGGAGGAAGGAGGGCCCCAAGTGGCTCGAGTGGCTGGACAGAAGCGGTCAGAGGTGGCCCACGGTGGCCAGCCAGCAGCAAAAGCCGCCAGAGGCTGGACCCTGCCTGCCTGCCTGCTGCCTGGCTGGCTGGCTGGCCGGCTGAAGCCTGAAGCCTGAAGCCTGAAGCCGAGACAGGGAGAAAGAGAAAGAGCAAGCCAAAAGAGGCAAAGGGGATGGAGAAAAGCAAAGGCAGAGTGAAAACAGGCAAGTGGCCCTGACCACAAAGCAGAGCGAGAACCAAAGATGGCCAGAGGGCTAGAGGACAGCAGAGACAGACACAGACACAGACAGAGACAGACAGAGGCAGAGAGAGACATGCAGAGAGACAGAGATGCAAACAGAGTCAAAGGCCCTGAGAAATGCACGGAGAGGGGGCAAGGGGGCGGATAGGCGGTAAAGGGGATAGGACAGGGTAGGAGGATGAAAACGGGGAGGGAGCAGAGAGAGGCAAAGGGACTGAGGCATGTTTGTGTAGGACAGAATGTGGGAATCCAAGCAGCCAGACTGAGGCAGAGGCGCACATCTGGAATCAACTGAGCTGAGCTGAGCTAACCCCTAAACTAATCTGAGTATGTTAGGGTTACAGGTGGGGATCTGTGTGTGTGTGTGTTTGTTGTTATGGTGTGTAAAATAGTGGGGAGGGAGACAGTGAAAAGAGACATGGGTGGGGCCACATAAACAGCTGAGAGCCAGCCCCCAAAAAGAGCAGGGGCAGGAAAAAAAGCAGAGATTGAAAAGCAGCTGAGGAAATGGAGAAAAGTGCCCACAGCGGGCCCTGAAAACAAAAGCAGATAGAACCAAAAATAGGAAAATGTCCCCAGGACAGCAGAGATGGAGAGAGAGAGAGACAGAGAGAGAGCAGGCAAAGAGGCAAAGGGGATGGAGAGAAGCAAAGACAGTGAAAACAGGCAAGGGATCCCAGAATCAGAAGCAGAGAGAAGCAAAAATAGCCACAGGGCCAGAGGAAGGCAGACACACAGAGAGACAGAGACAGCTAGAGAGAGAGAGAGAGACAGAGACAAAGAGAGAGAGAGAGAGAGAGAGAGAGAGAGGCAGAAAGAGATGCAAAAGGAGTCAAGGGGCCCCGAGAACATCACAGCGAGGGGGCAGGTGGGTGGTAAAAGGGACAGGACGGGGGATCAGAGAGGCAAAGGCACTGAAGGGCGTTTGTCTAGGACAGATGTGGGAATCCCAGCAGTGAGATACTGGCAGAGGCGCACATCTGGAATCCACGGAGCAGAGCTGAGCTGAGCTGAGCTGTGTGTGTTAGGCTCACAGGTGAGGATCAAGGCATGGGGGTGTGTGTGTGTGGTGTTAGGGTCTGAGAGAAAGCGGGGAGGGAGAGAGCGAAAAGAGGCCTGAGGCCAGCAAAACAGCTGAGAGACAGCTAAAAGCCAGGGCCAGGTGCATGGCAGAAAGCTGAGCGAGAGAGAGTGAAAAGAGGCCAAGGGAATGGAAAGCCGAGAGTGCAAAATGGCCCCAAAAGACCTTGAAAACATCAGCAGAGAGAACCAAAAGTAGGCAAAGACAGAGACAGAGAGGAGGCAAACGGGACTCAAGTGGGTTTGTGAATGATCTAGGAGTCAGTCCTAGCGGTGGCCCAAAGGAGAGAGACATTCGGAGTATAGTTAGCCCAGCCGAGCCGAGCCCAGCCAAACTGCATGTGCTAGGGTTATAGGTGATCATCAGGGCATCTGTGTGTGTTGTTAGAGTTAGGGTGTGGATGGATGGATGGATGAGGGGGGAGTACGTGTGTGTTGTGAACCTGCACTGATCGGTGCAAAATGCGAGTCCAGGAGGCTGGGAAGCTTAAGTAGCCAGACCTTAACACTCTCTCCGGGTTTTTCCCCCCTATAGGGCTCTTGATCCAAGAACCACCAAACCAGAGAGATATCACGCTGGAAATGAGATTCAGCTACAGTCTGACGTGAATTTACGCTCAGCATCTGACAGACTGACACCCCCGTCTCCCCGTCTCCCTTGGGGTTGATTTTTCTCTCCTGTGTGTGTGGGGGGCATTAAGGGGGCACGGCTCACCCTGCTCACTGTCTCTGTCTGCTTTTCTCATGATACTTGTACAGTGAGTGCTTTTGCTGTGTTTCATGATGTTACCTTTGGAACAGAGAAACACAGTAAATTTTTCCATGGGGAAAAATTCTACCAGAGTCTTGAGTTGTTTCTTTGGTTGAACAGACAGAGCACCTTCCTGGGTGGGGGCCATCTAATCCTGCATCAGAGTGGACATTCCTTGGGAGGTGTGGGGAGGGAGTAGGGGATGGGGGTTGACAGGGGCGGCCTCAGGCTTCTCTGAGGCACTGACTGGCTAACCCCAGTGGTCGCTAACCCTCACCCTATGCCAGACCTAAGCCTAACCAACCCCTTGGGTCTACTCCCCTGCCCTCGTCCAGTACTCCCCAACCAACCAGACAGGGACAGGGCTGCCCATCTGTGTCAGTACAGTTCTTTCTTTCTTGCCACAGACAGGTAAGTGAGTCTGTGTGACCCTCTGTCCATCAGCGTCCCACCATTTGGTGCTTCAGGATGGGCTCTTTCCTGGGTCATGGCCTTATGGATCCCCTGACCCCCTGTCCCGTCCAGGGAGGAGGGCCCCACTGGGGCAAGACATCTCTCTCACCACACACACATGTGAACCCTAGAAATGGGCAGCCACCAGAGGCTGGAACCCAGCCTAGTGGCCTCCAGACTCCAACCGAAGCCTCGGCCCCACGTGGGAAGCCCTCCCTGTACAAAGTATACACTCCTCGATCTGAGCCAACAGATGTTCCTCCTGCACCAACTGCCACACCAGGTGGTCGTCTGCAAAAAAGAGAAATAGCCCTCAACTACCTTCCATCAGCTTCCCTACTGCCATGCTTCTGCCGGAACAAGACAGCGCCCCCTGGTGGTTAAAGGGGACACGCACATCATCCCCAGAGGCACTACCAGGATCCAGGTTCTTTTTTTTTTTTTTTTTTTTAGAGTAAACAATGATGCCGTTTATTTAAAATGTTTACTCCAAGAAATATATATATAAAAAAAAAATAAAGACAATTACAGCACTAAACCAGGCGCCTTCGGCCGAATCACAATATCCTCTTTGATTCTCATCCACCTCGGACCCTCCCATCTGGACCTGGAGGGCACCAAGCCCCTTCCTGGCTCGACCCTCTGCGACTCTTGGAGTGCAGGGCGCCCCAATTCCTGTCCTGAAGGGTGCTCCTTGCGAGGAAGTTCATGTTACAATTCTACACCAAAGGAGGGGCGAAGCGGGGCACAGGACACCTTCCCTGGAGGGGTCCTGGCCAGGGTGGCTGGCTGCTGGTTTCAGGAGTTGCCTGGAAGATCTGAGCCCAGGTCTGCCCAGGGCAGCTCCCAGGCTATTGCGTCCCCAGTTGGGTGACCACACAGCTCAAGGGAGACCCCCAGGGTGTGACATAAGGAGCACAGTCGGCCAGCTAGCTTAGGTGGGAGCTTGCATGGGAGGCCTCTGGAGGTGACAGGGACAGATCAGGTTAGTTTAGCGGAAGTTCTGACACTGCAAAAGCTTGTCCCCAGGGGGGGCCACTGTCCCAACACCGTGGCAGAGATGAGCAAGGACTCCAGTAAGGTCTTAAATCCAGCCCCATCTCCCTGGAGGCTGTAGGGTCAGCCAGGCACAAGCTGCAACCTGTCCCCCAAGGACAAGTCACTGAGCGGTGATGGGGTGGGGTGACAAGCAGGAGGAAAAGCAGTGACCAGTAGTGACCATGAGATCATTTTTGGCATTTTAACACGAAGACAATGACAAGTGGTTAACAGAAGCAAAACCAAAGCTGAAGACCAGAACTGAACTCTCCGTCCGTCCGCCCAAGTCCCCCAGAAGCACACTGAGCTACACATCTAGGTAAAGCACCCAAACCAGTCCAGGATCCAGGTTCTTTGACAACCCCAAAGAGCCCCTCCCCTCCCTGCCTGCCGGCTCTCAGGGGGCACGACAATACCTAGGGAAGGTGCCTCTGCAGTGGAGAGACGGCTGTGCTGTGCTGTACTGTACAGCCGGGCATGTCGAGCCAGGGCTACCAGGCACTCAAGGCTCATTCCTGTTTATAGGGCAGTGGTGAGCATCTCATGGAACTCGTGTTGCATATGGCAGCGCAAGACATCATGAGCTGTGGGCACTGGAGGAAACGTGGTTTTGTGATCCTTGGGGTAGATGGCATTCTGGGCAGCTAGCTCCAGCCTCTTACAGCTGAAAAGAGAGACAGGGAAGAAACACTGGCCTCGGTGCCGGCTGTTTTAGCCCAGTGAGAATCACAGGCACTGTGAATGAATTTTGTTCTAAGCAGGTTTTCTAGTTACAATGTTTCCAGGTGTAAGAGTGTGGGAATTGCCCTCCCTGTATGATTTCTATGGGGAACGTGTTACCACAAGTTCTAGGAGATAGTTACCATGTATTCCTACAGCAGGCTCTTTCAGCACAGTGAGAATCACAAGAACTGTGACGGAGTTTTGTTCTATACTGGTTTTCTAGTTGGAGTATTTCCAGGTTTAAGAGAGTGGGAATTGTCTTCCTGTATGATTTCTATGGGGAATGTGGTACCATGCATTCTAGGAGATAGCTGACACACATTCCTAGTGCAGGCTATTTCAGGACAGTGAGAATTATAGGTAAATAGCAGGTAGCCTGCCTAATCTAAAAACTAAAGGAGTTAGTGGAGTACAAAATGTACCCCGCCTTATGAAAATGAAAGAGAAGGACTTGTCTAAAAAGGAAGGCAGATGACATTGTTAAACTGGTACTGTGATTTGAAACCCATATTGTTTTCATCACTCTGTTCAGTTTGGTTATATTATGTTCCAGTTTATCGACTTACACTAGATTTGATGGACAAGTATTCCAAAGATAGCAGGATATACAATGGTAACCATTTGTTATTTTCTATTAATTTAATTTGAAGCCTTGTATTGCTTTCGCTGCTTGCACTGACTGGATTTATTTGAATCTGTTTTGTTTGATTGCTGTGTTGTCTTGACTGATTTTATTCCAATCTGTTATGTTTGATAGTATCAAGTCTGAGGGTATAGGCAACTAATCTGAAGACAATAAGATTCACTACGATACTCATTCTGGTTTGACTTCTTTTGAAGTCCTATAATGTGTCCAATGTTTTGTTTTTATTTATTTTGTTCTGTACTGCTATATTCAATTTTACTATGCCTGACAATATGGGCAATTCTATTGAAGATAACAAGAGACATTATGGTAACCACTGTTGATCACCTTGTATTTTGGTTTTAAGTGATATACTATACCCATCCTTTTGTTTTGATTGACCTCACTTGATTTTATGTTTTCCAAAATAAAAACATAAAATAAAAAAATAAAATTTTAAAATAATTTATGTTTTCTAACAGTACCAACTTATAGGTATCATTTGATGCAACTTACTTAAAACTCAGAGTATATCATATTTATCAAGAACAACATGTTATTGATAGGCTATTATTTTACCAACTTAATTTTCTTTTAATTCCTCCAATATACCATTGTACAGTTTTCAGCCCATCTCAGTTATGCATGGATGAAAAACTCAGTTTTGGCCAATGGAACATGACTAGCAGTGGCCACAGACTTCCAGGCAGGCCTGACTCATGGCTGTAACTTATATGGGTTTTTGAGTTGGTCCTTCCCTTGTCTGTCACACAAACTGATTAAAGAAAACCCTGGAGTCCATGGCTAATGGAACAGTCTCTATTGGCCTCAGATCTGAGTTCTTTGTGGAATAGAAACTTCCCTGCTACCTATCCCAAAAGATCCCATTTAGCAATTAACATAAAGAAGAAAATAACCCTCTTTTGAAGTAAGCTACTGAGATTTGTGGACTTATCTCCTGGAGAATATAGCATTATCTTAGGTAATACAGATTAAGGATATGTCTAAAAATGGAATTTAGGTTTTTAATTTAAAATTATTTACATATATTGTTTTTATAGTGAGAAAAATTATGCAAGTCCAACACTTAAACATATTTAATAGTCTCTTTAGAAATTCTATTTTAAATACTTATTTTAAATAAAAGGGATTGCAACTTCTAGACATTTTAATTAAGATATCAAGAAACTATATGAAGAAAGTCAAATCTAAATATCTTTTTTATAGTACCAACAAAAGAGAAATCTGCCTCTTAAAATGAAAAATTATTTTCTTCAAGTGGTATTAGATAACTTTAAGGTAATTATCATAGTACAACATCACATATATACTATATATGATGTAAAGAAATTTGATAATTAAGGATTTAAGCAAATAACAGGTTTTCTATATTAAGAAATCCTTAACATACATAGATGCTATTAATTAACCACTCATTGAAGAACCCTAAAAAGTAACATATGCTCTGTTATTTTCCTTCATTTGAATGTGAAATATATGATAAGTATAGATTTTATGGAATATAAAGTTGTTACCAACTACAAATATAAGTCCAAATAGAACCCTTGTCCGAATTCCTGTGGAATCTTGGACACTATTCCTTTAGTTCTTGAAAGAAATAGTAGGTGTGAAATGCTCTGGGCTGGTCATCACTGATGAGAAATCCACCTAGACCTGAAGATCCTGAAATTGTTTTTTCACATTTTTACTGCACAGAATAAGCAACAAAAATGATACCTAACATTTTATAAGAAAATCAAGCTCCTATCTTCTTTGTTGCTATGCTTGAAATTTTTATTGCATTATTGTCTATGTTTTCACCATCTAAAATTTTAAGTGAAAAAAATACTATCTATAATCACTTCTAGTGTAAGATTTCGATCGCTGTATAAAATAAGAATACTGATAATTAATAGTAAACTTCACCAGAAAAGAAAAATATTCTTCCATTAAATATATCCCAAAGTATTCACTAAATAAATAAAAAGATACTCAAAGTCACTTTAAAAATACCTGTAGTATTTAAAAATTATATAGTTTTATCTGCAAGATGCACATATTTCAAAAATTTTGAAGTATTAACATTGATGGGGAATTACTATATTTAACGTAAAAAGTCCAGGGAAACGATATAACATGGCCGTTGTATTTTAATTTCCATCAAAATATTGTTTAAAAAGTGATCTATTGAAAGAACAAGTCTTGTTCATTAGCCTTCCTTCATTCTCAGCTTCTGATGTGTTTTTGC